TGTCACTTCAGTAGATGAGAAGGTAACTTATATGCTGCCATTACTGTTGTGTTTATTTATTTATTTATTTAATTTATATGTCGCCCACACTACCCGAAGGTCTCTGGGCGGCTTATGGAAAGGTTGCTGGTTCCACCAGTTCTCCATTATACAGAAGAGTTCAAACAAGTGTAGCTGTTCCTATCACTAAAGGTCCAGGATGGGGGGGGGGGAATACACTTATTGAAAATTTCCCCTGTTCTACAGTTGTAAAATTGTCAGGTGTATGGTCCACAAAAATCCTTGTGTCATCATATTAGGATATTTTTAGCATGCCTCCAAAAAAGGAAGACTTTAGTGCGGATTAGATTGGAGAGTGAGGAGTGGGGAGAGAGAACAATAAATAGAGCCATCCTTGTAAACCTCTTCCTCTATAAAATACGTAAGAAACAAGCTTTTCTAAAACGTAACAGGAAATCTCCCAGATTAAAATAGATAATATGCAACCAATAAACTAAATGTTTGTCGGGGAAAAAAAAGTTCAAGGCAGTGTTTGAATATTTGTTAAGTGAAGACAGACAAACCTCCTGGAAATAGGAGTATTTCCATATCCGGAGTGTCACCACAAGAAATGGGACCATCAGATCAAGATCTGAGGACAGATGTTTAAGGTCTCATAGTAAAGAGGGAGAGCCCCGAATACTGTTTTATAATGTTTTGCAATAAGGTAACATAAGGACTGACACTTCTAACTCCAGGGTCTGCCACTGGAGGCAGCTACCTCCCTCTGTTTAATAGCAGGGCCAGTATAATTCAGCTGGCCTAGGAAGCAGAGACTTTTTGAATATAGCAATGACATTAATCAATCTGTATCAGCCAGAGTATGTGTGCTGATTACCAGGATGCAACACGAAGGGAAGGGACCTTTTACTCTTTTTCTTTCTGAAAAAGAAGGAGCCGACTGTGCAAAAGTTCTTCCTCTAAACCTGCTATTCAAAGTGGGCAGAAAACAGCCTTTGCTACCTGTCTTGTGGCTTTCAATGGGGCTTCCAAAGTTGGTACAATCATATCAACTCATAGAAACCAATGGGGATTCTCAATTCAAGTGTCTCTAAGGTTAAGGTGGTGTTACTCCTCACTATATTGTAGGGTTAGAAAAAAGGTGCTGGTTCTCCCTGATGGAAGAAAGTTAAATTTTTGGACAGCAACTTCGAGACTGTCTCAGCCAACTATGAGCAACAACTAAAAAAAGTAAACGTTTCCAAACTCTGAATATCAAAAAAATATGCTTATCAGTGGTGCATGTAATATTTTCCTTTTTTAAAAAAAAATGTGATTGGTGTTTTTAGCTGTCTTGAGCTCCAGATGGGTTGAGTGGGAAGCTGTATTTGTACATTTTATAAAAAGGAAGACGTGAGATCAAGGCTAGAAGAAAAGCGTGATCAGCTTTAAAGTTGGCACTCTTGGCAAACTGCAGTAAAAGCACATCTTCTGTAGTTACAGAGGTGACTCTAGGTGGAACTCACTGTGATCTTAAATGCAGGCATGCCATCTGTGGCAACAGAATACATCCTACTCCCCAACTGGAAGCTGCACAATTTTTGTTTTGTGTTGTGCTGTGTTTGGTATGTGCTGCTACTTGACAGATTATGACAGTCATTCATAATCAGATATTTCAGAACGCTTCAACAAAAAGCTTCCAAATGTTGGGAGAAACAATCACGCCCTCTGAGGGGATTTTGTTGTCCTGTTTAACTCAAGAGCGAAAAAGAATACAATTTAATTTTCTTTTGGCATATGGAGTTATTCCGTTCCCCCCCTTAGGAACATTGAAGAGACAATTGGTGACATATCCATGGAAAAGGAATAGCTGTCTGGTAAAGTTAGGTACACCCCATCTCCTGTGTCTGTCTCCCCCCACTTGTCACAGCCATTCAGTTTAACTCGATGGCTTCCTCAGTGTAAGACATCCTCCTGGTGATATGCGTTTGGTAACCTCATCAGACAGGTTCTCCATTCTTATAAACGTACCCAATATGCTATTTGAAGGTGACATGGGGGTTCAGGGCAAGGCTTGTGCAAGAGTTGATGATTTTGTCAGGCTGTTGATGGGCAGTGGGTCAGCCCCTCAAGGAAAGAAGAGTTTCCACATCATATATTTGCACTGATGTTAATGTGTTCATAAGGCTGGACTTCTATATCCTTCTCTTAGCAACTCTGTACCTGAACATGAGCAAGAAGCTCTGATTTATGGCCTCATTTCTGCTTACAATATAAATCAGAATTGGTGGTTGAGAGTTCTTTGAGAAGAGCACTGACCAGTTGGAAAATTTTAGGCAGCGTGCTGAAAATTTGAAAAAGGAACTTTTTAATTTTTTGGGCAGAGCTGCACAAAAAAGTCATTTGTTCAGCCAAGTGCAAGAGAAGGAAACCTACCAAATCTTGTCTTCTGTCCTTCTTGGGTGCAAGTTCATAATTCTTTTCCTGAGATTTACTGTGATTTGGCTTTGCTTTACACCATGGCCTGCTGCAGATCATTCTTACAGTAGATTATTTTCAAGTTTCTGCCACTGATGGGTTTGGAGATGAAAGATCGTGAACTCTGGAAAGCTAGGATATTACTTGTTATAGCTGAGAAGTAGAAATGATTTTTGGAGTTGTAGCTATATTAGTCTGTGCAAGCATATCAACAAGAAACAGAAATGCAAGACCAAAGCAAGGGGGAAAAGACATTGTGGAATTTTAAAGACTACCTGCTATATTTTAATATAAGCTTCCATGGAACATTATCCACTTTTTCAGATGTACAAATTAGAATGACATGGACATTCCTCGAAGGCTTGCATTAAAATATAGCAGTTAGTCTTTAAAGTACTGCAGTGTCATTTTTTGCTTTTATTTTGTTTTGTGTTTCAAGTAGAAATGAGTTTGGCTTGCTTTACCTTGTGCTCTAGAAAAAGAGTGAACAGAAGATAAATCTTGTAATCTAATGAGAAATTTCTGGGAAATTTGCAGTAGATCAGCAAGAAACTCCTGTTTGTAATGGTTTTAAATGTTGACACCTAAATTAAGACAGAGTAGCTGTTATAGTCGGATCTATACATAGCTTTCTTCGATATGGTGCTACTAATATATCTCCAGTGTCCCTTGCCTGCATATAGACTATGCTGCTTGATGATCGTGGGAGTTGTAGTCCAAAAAGCTGGAGGACATTAGGTTTAAGAAGAAGACTTGTTCATGGGATCAGGTCTCTGGACCATCACTGTATGTCTGCTTCTACTTGGTGGACTTCAGGCTTCTAGAAGAAAACCCAAAATAATCTACTGTACTACCTTGAACACACTTGATCTTGGGTGATTTTTAGCAAGGTTGGGCATAGCTAGTTCTTGAATGGAAGACTGCCAGGGAATATCAGGATTTCAAGATAGGGCTACGAAAGAGACCTGCGAGAAACTCGTGTGTGAGAGAGAGAGGGAGAGAGACTGTGTTGCTTGGCAGGAACGTGAAATGAAATCAAAACAGGTTCTCCTAGTGCAGGCTGTTCTGGAAGCAAAAGCATGAGGACAGCATAAAACACTGCTATGTTCCTTTGAGTATATGATGCTCTGATTTAGATCCAAGAATTAGTAGGATTAACTATCCTATCAACGATGACCAAGATTCCTATGTTCAGATTAACCTGGTGAATACTGTGGTGGTGGGAATTTTGCACCACCTCCTTAGAATTCTTGCTAACCCAAATTGTGCAGAATGGTATGCATTGTCACTGCAGCAGTGTGGGAGCTGCTTCCTTTAAGCTTCTACCCTCAGTGATCCAGTGATAAATTGGTGGGAACCAAGTAGATGGGCCAAAACTCTATGGGTCTTTCCCCATAAAAGTTACCAGGTAATGCTTGTGTTGAAAGCAATAACAGAAGAATGTGCTTGACCCTTAAGAGCAGATGTGGTGCTTTGTCCTGGACTTTACACCATTGGTCCATTGAACTGCAATAAATACCAGCAGAGTTTATAATCTCCATTGTCTTTCACTGACATAAGTGGAGGGCTTCAGACTGAGGAAGGCTGTTCTAAGATCTCTATGCAAAAATGTTCCCCAGTACCTGAGATTGTTTAAAACGGAGATGTTGGTGATTGAACCCTGGAGCCTAGCTGGGGATTTCTGGGAGTTATATTTCAAAGAAGGAACTTTTCTCAACACCAAGCAACCCTCCATCTAAAAAATACTTGAAGATTCAGCCATACCATTAGGAGATACTTTGCCATCATTTAGTGATGGTGTGTGTTAAAATTTTGGGGTACCATGAAAGAGTGAATATAGCACTGACATTTGTGTAATTCAGAATGCTCTCGTGGCATGTTGCTTCATTTACATGTGGCATGTTGCATGTTGCTTCATTTACAAGAAAGCCTATTTCACATGGTTTCCCAGTGTTTCAGACATGTGAACTGGGTAGTTTGCCATTTCGTGATGGTGTCCTTTCCCTCCAAAAAGTGCCATCCGTTGGACATGGTAGCTAGTGATAATGAAATCTGTAGTCCAGTACACTTGGAGGAGCAAGTTGAGCAAGGCTGCGTTATGGACATTACCATAAAGCATACCTATTCCACAGGAGTGCATGTATTGCAGTTGCCTGGGGTAATGTCTGTGCCATGATGCGTCATGATGGGACATCAGGTAGTGACATAGTCCATTTTTCTCACCAAACATGAAACATAAAAATAGTGTCAGAGCACAACACCATGAACTCAGATCCCATTTTGATGCATTATTGCTAGAAATAAGAGGATTTTTTAGCATTCTTGTTTGGAAGCTAGTTCTGTATAGGATAGTTCAGAATTATGGATTTCCCACTTAATTTTTACTACTATTGACCCACAATAAGCCATAACAAGTGGGAAAGATGCTCCCAAATAGTTGAGTTAAATCTCAGTTTTGCACCTTCAAAATTGGTTTGTCCCTTCTTGCAGAGGCTGCAACTTATATGCCTTTGGGGCTTTCTCCATTTCTCCTTTTCTGATAGGGTAAACCTAGCTCTGGCATACACAGAACTGACTGAGGAATTGTGCCGCCTAAGGAATCTGAGTTCTATCCAAAGCCAGATTCTCCGGACCCTTATGCAAGAACAGGCCATCAATGGTGGTAAGTGGCTGTTGAAGAGAGGGACCGCCAGGAATGCTGAAGATTGTATAGCAGTTCAGAAGAAGACAGAGCTTTAGGTCTTGAACTGTGGCCACAAATAATTGCATTTTTTAAAGTGAGGCTGTGTGTGTGTGTCCTTGCGTGCTTGCAAGAGAACTTGAAATACTTCTGGAAGTTACCAGAGACATTCAGTAAAAGCAGTGTTTTTCATTTATTTTCTAAATTCTTAGTAACTTACTTACACTATAGTGCATTTGTCATTTTGTTGCCCACTCAGTTCAGTGATAATCTAGAGCTTTTCTAACCTGCTTGTGTTTTCACCATCCTGCAAAGAGGTCTACAGAGCAGATAGCATAGGGCCACCCCTTTGCCTGCAACCCTATCATACACAACTTTTCCTTCTAATTAGTTTTACTTGATGCTCATTTCTGTCCTGAGCATGAGCAGATCTGAAAATCATAGGAACTGAGCATCCCTTCCTGTGCCTTGAAATGGGAATTCCACCATGAAGTTTGCATTCTGGGTATTAATATCAGCAAGCAGGCCCTTAATAGATCATTGATGACACTGTGACTGTGTCTACAAAATGCAGTTATAGCAGTCTGATACCACTTGAACTGCCATAATTCCCTCCTATGGCATCCTGGGATTTGTAGTTTGGTGAAGTACTTGAGATTCTCCGCAGTTGCTCTAGGAGCCTAGAGAATGCATTAGAGCTCCCCAGCGGAGAATTTTAAGTATCTTGCCAAACTTACGTGTCCCAGCATTCTATTAAGAGGGAGCCATCAAATGCCATCAAATGGCATCAAAAGTCCTTCTTTAATTGTGCAGTATTATACACTCTACATCAGTTGGTGTGAGAATGAATCGAACACATAAAATAAGGGTTTTTGTCACTGTGTTAAATATAGGGAACAACCAACCAGGGAATGGGTTTTCAAATCAGATGGCCTCTTACTATTAACAAATTAGGTGGTGATTTTGGAATTCTTTGGGGTTTTCTTTCTTCTTCTTCTTTACATCAGTGGAATGTTGCATGTATGTTTCTGAATGTGCGCATACCTACTCTGCATCCTCTTGGAACAGCTTCTCAAAACCAGAATATGATACTTGTTTTACTTGTCTTTACTCCGTTTCCAGGTCAGCGACACTCTCCCCATTCCCAGCGACATTCTCCTGCCCAGCAGCGCCGCTCTCCAGCCCCTCAGTGCACTTCCCCAGCACAGCAAGGGAGACCTTCCCTTCCTCAATGCCCATCTCCAGCCCTACAAAGACGGTCCCCGGCACCACCGCCATGTCAGTCTCCTGCACATCAGCGTCGTTCTCCAGCTCCACCTCCTTGCCAGTCTCCTGCTTCACAGCGCCGTTCCCCAGCCCCACCAGCCGGCCAGTCTCCTGCCCAGCAGCGCTGCTCACCAGCCCCCAACTGCTCATCCCCTATCACCATCACCTCACAGCACAGATCTCCCGGCGGTGAAAGAAGTGTGATGGATCTGGGCTATTCCAAACCCTCAAGCCACCACATCAAAGCAAGCTTCCAAGGCCGTCGGAGCTACTCGGAAGCGAGCAATGCAGCTCTGTACCAGCAGCAGAACCGCTCTCTCTGGCTACAGCCAGAAGCTTCTACCTTACCAAAGCACCGTCCTTATGGCGAGGTTTACGCCAGAGACGCCTTTGAGGACCATTTGCGCTTTGAGAAGCAGTCCTCAGATGAAGAAGACTGGGCCCTCCCAAGCCCCCCCAGCCCTGAAGCCGGGGGCATCCGTTGCGCCTCCTTCTGTGCAGGGTTCCCCATCCCCGACACCTCCACACACCGGACTGATGCCTCATACTGCAGGGCTGAACATGCCCAGTCCTGGCCCTCAATCAATGTAAGCAACAGCTAGTGCTGTATATTTTCTGTGCCCTTCCCTCCTCACTTCAGTTGTACCATTCAGAATTAGTTCAGCATATCAAAAATAAAATTCTCCTGCTCTTATTTAATTGGAATTATTAAAATTCGGTATGAACAAGAAGTACTTCTGATAGTCCTAGAAGACTCTCAGAGTCTGACAGGATTTCAATTTCCTTTCTCTTTATCTCCTTATGTGTGGATTGATCCAGAACTGTCATATCACCTGGTCGGTAGGTATCAGCTGGGAGGTGGGGAAAGTTTGCCCATAAGGAGTATACCACCAAATTTTAATGGTGACTATGCAGAGGGACATTGCAAGAGATTGAAAGGAAGTCAGTAACATCACACTGATAAATATGGGAACCAACAAGAGTAAAATCTGTGTTATGTCAGTGTGGGAGAATACTGTACGACTATATGATCACTGATGCTCTCATGCAGAAGCATCTTCTGAAACAATGAAACATTACATAACTGAAGTATTTTCATTATTTGTTCCTGATATAACTGCAGATACTCTTACATTCAAAGGTAATGTGTAAAAGTTAAAATTGAGACCTAATTTCACAAATATCTGCTGCTTTTGGAAACACATTAAAATACATCTTCTTCACTTTGTATACCTGTACTGTACCTGTTGACACTATGACCTACTACATCTTTAAATTTTCTCTATGCGTTGCAGAGAACACTAAAAATCACCATTCATAGAACAGTGCATCCCCTGCAGGAGTTTCCCAGCAGCAGTCACATGATTTCACTGTTACTATAATCCCTTTTTGTAAGTCTATACTAATAGGCTTCTGTCATGGACAGGTTGGAGTGGAGTGGGGGGTTATAGCAGGGAAAGCACATTATTGGCTCTTGGAAACTTGTTTTAACAGCCAAGCAGTTTCACTTCCACTTTGTGATTATTATTTTTTGTTGTTGCTGGCCAACCCTTTGCCAAAAGGCAATGCTGATCAGCAGTATGCATGAAGTGTTTACTTTTCAGAACATGTAGAGATCTTAATTAGTAACAAGCTATTTCTCAGCTTTCATCTTTTTTTGTAAACAAATGACACTTTTCTCTAATTTCCATTCTTTCCCCAACCCTATTATCCCTTAGCTGCTGATGGAGACTGTGGACTCCGACATCCGAAGCTGCCCTCTCTGCCAGGTGGCCTTTCCCATTGGTTACCCAGACGATGCTTTGATAAAACATATTGATTCACACCTGGAGAACAGTAAGATCTGAGGTCTGCACCGCTGTCTGTCCTCTTCCAGCTTCCTTAATGAGACCTGTCCACCTCACCCCATCCACCTCACTCTTCTTGGATGCTGCATGAAAAGCGGTGGCGCAACAGGGGCTTCTCTCTAAAATACCTCTAAGTCTCCGGTAGACTGAACCGTGAAGAATTCTGCCTCTCCCTTGCCCTCTTCTCTTCGCCTTGGTTTTTAAAGTGTTTTCCCCCCTCTCCCTCCTGCTCTTTGGGAGTAGGATCTGCAATATTCCCCTAATGCTTGATCCAACTGTAGAGGTTGGAGAGGGAGGGTGAGAAATATACTTGCACCAGGCTCCACAGGGCGCAACAACGCACTCATCCATCTGAAGGCTCAGAACTGAGGTTTTCTTTGGGAGGGGGGACTTTGTTTACAGGGTTCAGCATTGGCATCTGGAAGATCTCAGGGTAGGATGAGTGAAAAGTTAACCATGGTTGTGTGATTTGGGGTGGAATGGGTGAGTAGACATGGACTTTGGCCTACTGAGGGCACAGTCTGTTGCCCATGTAGTAAGAAATCAAAAGATTTTGTTTTGTGCCCACACGGTGCAGGAATACCCAGGTGGGTCACGTCTCCCCACTTTTCCAGCTATTAAGAAGGGCATATATTGGATTGCTTGTTTATTGGACATAGAAAGCCTTGGCCTCCAATCACTGGTTCAAGTGTCTTTGTCTTGGTCTTTTACATTAAAAGCCCACTTTTAACAATGCTGCTGAGAAATAGAGCCAACATCCAGAATTGTAGCATGGACGTTCTAAAGTTATTGCACTGGACACTGTAACCCACAATGCTTCCCCCCCCCACCAAAGGAGCTCCTCCTCTCCTCCCATGCTAAGTTCTTGTGAGTTGCACTGGAGGAACGGTGCACTGCAGACTTGGGTAGAGCTCCAGGAAGTGTCCCCCATGTGACTGTCTGTGTTCTCTTTGGCGACTGTTTTCCACCTTTCTCCCAACACACTTTCCACCTGGCTTTAGATAGTTCCTGTATAACAAGAATGGTACTTGCTGCATTCTGACTCATACCTAATTCTCCTGTAATGACAGCATGTTGACATTGTTTTTGACAACAGCATAAATGTAAAACATTTTCCATTTCTGACATCCACCCTTTCATTCTCTTTCTCTCTGGCCTTACTAAGCATATATTTTGCTTTACTGATCTAAACAGCAGGCATGTTCCGGTTGATTTCTTGCTTCCGGATTTGTGGTGCCTCCATATTGTGAAAATTGTCTCCTTGAAAACAGCCTGCTCATATATCAGGCTTTGGTGAAAAAGAAAAAAACGGGGGGAAAAGAGCTGCACGAACTTCTCCTTCTTAAGCAACTGTCTTCCTATCAGAAAGCTCTTAGCAATGTGTGTGTTGAGATTTATAGGCTGCCTTATCCCAAGGGCTGAGGAGGCCCAATGGTAAATAGTCTAATTTCTGTGGGCATTAAGGAGAATAGAATCTTAAAAATGAAACAGAATCAAAGGAGCTTTTTAAAAAACATGTAGTTCAGGGGTAACGTATGGTATAAGCTGCATGCAGTTCCCCAGCCCATTTTTGCAGCCTCCCAGCACCCTCATCTCCCCCTCATTAAAGAAAATGTCTTGGAAAAACTTTATTTGCTCAAGAAGTCTCATTGTGTCCTCTAAGGCAGTGGTCCCCAACCTTGGGCCTCCAGATGTTCTTGGACTTCAACTCCCAGAAATCCTGGCTAGCAGGGGTGGTGGTGAAGGCTTCTGGGAGTTGTAGTCCAAGAATATCTGGAGGCCCAAGGTTGGGGACCACTGCTCCTAAGGGGCATGATGAAGAATTCTGGTACATTATGAAGGATCTCTACACCCGTTTTTAGTTTTTTACAAAAAGGTGAGATGGCTTTTTCAGTTTGTTTTCGGTAATCCCATTTTAATAATTAAAAAGTTAAATAATTTTTATTTTAAAAATGTTTTNGTCTAAAATCTTTAGACTAAAAATTGAGGGTCGTCTTATACACGAAACTAAGCTGAGGAGAGGACAAAAACGAGTGGAGGGGGGAAGGGATCAAAGCAATCCTGCCGTGCTTTGACCCCTGCTTTCCCCCTCCACTTGCTAAGCCCTGCTTAGCAAAAGGAGAGGGAAAGCAGAGATCAAAGGGCTGCAGGATCGCTTTGATTGCTGCTTTCCCTGCCACTTTGTAAGTCCCACGGAGCTTAGCAACTAGAAGGGGAAAGCAGCGATCAAAGTGATCCTGCAGCCCTTTGGTCCCTGCTTTCCCCCTCCACTTGCTAAGTCCTGGGCTTAGGAAGTGGCGCAGAAAGCAGCAATCAAATTTTCTAATTTGGGGTTAGAAAAGTGGGGGTCGTCTTATACATCAGGGCGTCTTATACACAGAAAAATACGGTAAAATTTTAAAAACCCAAAGAAGCATATATACAAATTACCTTCTTTGGCCATGGCCCTCCCCTTCAACTCACTCATCTGAGGCTGCTGGAAAATGAGTAAGGTCACCCACCCTTGTGTAGTTCCTTTATCCTCATTCTATAATGCCACAAAAACCAATAGTAGTCCAACTCAAGCTGTGTATTTGAAGACTTCAACCCATGTATTAATACATTCCTCTTCCCCATCTTTACTGTGATCGTTCTCCTGTAAAGGTTAGGAAATGGGTCATTTCTGCCCATCACTCACTATTACGTGTATTATCATTATCTCATGGGTTTCAAAAAATTGAGTTGTTCCGATCCTAAGGGTAGAACTGGAGATATTGGCAGCCTGCCCTTTCCTTCAAATATGAATTGCTGCTAGACCATCACAAATTGAGTGATGGACACGTGATTCCAAATATGGAAGTCACTACTTCCAAATTCAACCCTTTTCAGATTACAGCTCCCCAAATCCTCAGTGGCCATGTGGAAAAGCAACTGTTCCAAGTTACTGCCTGTCAGCTGCCTGCAGCTTCTCTCCATAAGTTTAACAGTCTTCTCCCTGGCTTTTTCTTTTAGCTAAATTTATATTCAGTCTATGTGACCTTAGTAAAAAGATGGGAAATGTGCGATCTTCTCCAGATGTAATTGGATTCTAGCTCTCATTGCTCATCAGAATGCTGGCTTGAACTGAGAGAAGCTATCTGGAGATTGGAAATGCCATGCAGGGTGTAGGATTCTGCAAGTTGTCAAAAAAAAAAAAGAGTTAACTTCCAAGCTCTGGTGAAGTTTTTAAGAACTTCACTAGGTTCAAATTAATTTGTACAGCCAATTTCAGAGTGAAACATTTGGAGTAAAATTCTCCAACCCCATAATGATTGGATAGTTGCTGTGGCCCCTGCTTGTTATGACAGGCTCCTCCAACTTGGATCCCAACAGTTGTGTTTCAGTACAATTCCCACTGTCCCAACAACATGGTGGTTGGATGGAAGTTTTAGATTTCTTGGACTACAAACCCTACAATTCTCTATTCTCTGGGAGTGCTACCTGTCAGACACCCTACAAACACTTATATTTGGCTCAGCTGAGAGAAAAGCCTCAACTGGAAATACCTTGAGGTTGTGGCTAGACCTGACTCTGCCCCAGCTTCTTGTTTCTGCCCCAGTGTTAGGTGGGAGCTTTCTTTCTGAACAGGTAGTCAGGTGGAGCCAGGTCTAACTCAGCCTCAAAGTATTCCAGTTGAAGTCTTTCTCCCAGCCGAGCCACATTTAGGCACCTGTCTGTCAGGTAGAGAAAAAAAAACATCTCTAAGCAGGACTTGTAATTAATCCCCTTGCGTACAAGCTGCTTCTACTTTCCAAGAGCCTAAAATTACACTTAATTTGTTCTTAGACCTCCAATTTGGCCATAGTGAAGCGAAGACACATTCAGTTTGTTTTAATGCACTGGATATTCTAGGATATTATTTCAGATGATATAACTAATATCCCTGAGCTGTCCCATTTCTGCCTTCCCTTCTCATGACAGTTGTGGATTCTCTTAGGCTAAACTGAGTGTGGGCCCTCAAAATTTGAAGACAGTCTTACGAACAGAAAGCTTGGATTAGTTTAGTGTCCATGGATATCCACTTTCCCTTGCAAACCCAAGTTTTTGATCTGATTCTCAATATGTCTCTGCCTGCCTTCCCATAGGGAAGGTTCACAAGTCAGTGTGTGAAAGAGGAATGACTTGTTTGAAACAAAGTCCTTGGTCAATTAATCAGAGTGTTTGTCCAGCTCTTTCCTTCAGCTGCCTTAGCATCTGAGTTCATCGCTGAGCACTTCCTCACTTTCATCTCTAGCAGGTAGCTGAAAATGGAATTGGAGGTAGTGAATCTCCCACTCATCAGAATGGTCATAAATTCCTTTTGGGTCAGGCTTGCATGTCTCCTCCTCTGATTTAATCAGATTTTAATGGTGTCCCATACCAACCTGAGGCAACTCCTTCGCTTTACCTTGTGGCAGGGCTACCTCTGCTGCAACCAGATTAATATCTTTCCCCATATATTCTCCCATATTTTTGGAGTGACTGGATGTTACACGTCTTAGTTGCTACACAAAGTTGGCCACTGTAAATCTCACCTAACGAATTGTCAACAGAGTGTGGATTATTTGTGCATGGCAACTTGTTGGAAAGCTTGAGCGTTTCCCTTGACATCTCAGCAAATGGTCCCAAATCAGAAATATACGGGACAAAGCTGTCGTGAATGCAGAGTCTCCGCACATACATGAAGGGAGCTATTTAGAGGAGCCTCCTCATGTGAATCTTCCCTCACATTGGCCCTGAAAATTAGCCAAGTAAACTTAAATCTGCAATCATCATATTTCTGTGATTATTAGGGAATTTTTTTTAAGTGGGGAGAGCCATTGTTCTATGCTGAAAATGCATCTCTTCCAACTTGTCACCTTTCTTCTGTTTATCTATTGTGAAATCTACCTCAGAACTGATGAGAAGCAAGCATGATAACAAGCAAAAAATGAGGGGTGGGTGGGTGTTGAATGATGGGAAAGGGTTTTTTTAAAAAAAAAAATCCATACCCTAATTTATCATAAGGGCTTGATTATTATGCAGATTTTCCCTTTTGCCCTGAATCCCCTCCCCCCCCCAAAAAAAGCTGAAGGCTATGATGAGGAAGAAACAAGGGTCATGAAGAGGTACAGGTAATACTTTTCAAAGGTCCTTTGTATCTGTTTGAGCTAATATTGGATAGTGGCTAAACAACTGAATATATAACAAATATGTATCACATGGGAATTATGAAACCACCAGTAATTTGGAGTGTTTCCCACTGAGGCACTTGTTGTGTCATCACCTGCCTCATTCGGAAAAATTAACAAGGAGGTCCAGATACAAAACATGCTGAACTATTTGGCCTGGCTGAATTTCAGGGGACAAAAACATCCCTGAAGGGTAGGGCTAATCTTTTGTGAGAAAATTTAAAGAATTTTTGAGGGACTAACAGAAAGAATCTGGCAGAAAAGGGAGAAATCAAATTTTACCACTGCTTGTAGCAGTGGTAAAATAGTGGTGGTGAAGAGAGTTGCGTTACTTTGTTTTGTTTAAGAAGTTGTCCTTTTTAAAAGGCAAAATCCTTCCCTCCAAAATTCTTAAAATTCACTCACTCTCCTTAAAGTAATAGAATATCCTGACATTTTAGGAGAGAATGTATGGTTCCATATAAAAAGGAAGGGATATCTGTCACACTTTGAAAATGACATTTGTTGCATTATTTATTAGAAAATCAGCATGTCTGCTCTAACCCGCTTGCTTCTCTCTAGCTTGCTTGTCCCAAAAGTGAAAAAGCAAGGAAGGCCATTTTAGCTGTCTGGCTGAGGAAAACCCTTGGGAGAGAGACCAGTCTGTCTGTATTGTCTTGATTTTTTTTTTCCTTTGGTGTATGTTTTTCTTCTGAAGAGATTCTGTGCTCTGTGAAAGAGAATAACTCTAATAAAAGTTGCCAATTGATGGATGTTTTCATTTATGGGTTTGTCTCCTGCATCAGCAGCAGTTTGCTTTGCGTTATAGTTCGAGCTTGGGAAAGTTACTTTTTTGGTCATACTGGCTGGCGGCGGGGGGGTGTTCCTGGGAGACACAGTCCATAATGTTTTCTAACTACTGGTTGTAGTTAGCAATGTTCTGAAGAAGTGTGACACATTTCATTGAGGAAAAGCAGACGAGATGGCAGCACCGTCCTAGAGTCTTTGCACAACTGCTATGGCTCAGTTGCCACTGAACAGCGATAGTGGAGAGACTGCTTGGAAACCAAGAGTTTGGAATGCCCTTGGAGTGGTAGGCAGGGCATTGGGAAACAATTATATTGGCCGATGGCATGACAAGGGGAATGTCTAGCTGGAGCAGACCCTGAGGGTTTTGTTTTTGTTTTTGCATGCTGGCCACCCAATGTTACTGTCTTGGATTGCCTCTCCCGCTGGCAGTTGTTGAGGCAGTACCATCTCTGGTCCAGAGGAATTGTATAAATACTTTCAGAATATAGAATTGCTTTCTCAACTTTTGATCTCCTGAGGTAACCATGTCTGAAAACAAAATAGGACTCCACTAACAAGCAGTTAACTCTGAGGTTTAGGAGGTTAATATTCAGCATACCCACAAAACCTCCTTGTTAGTTTCAAGCTTTGTTTCTAAAAGTTCAGAAGAAGAGTGGAGGAAATTAGAAGAATGATGTGGAGAGTTGAAGTTAAGAGTAACCATAGTTCAGGGTCATGTAATGAAAGTTAATTGGCACCGGTTTCAAAACAAAAG